AACATGCTCTTTGTTAAGTGTTCACATCTCACATTTACTCTTAAGATCGAATGATGCAGCTACAGTATTGTTTACAAACCCTCTTAACAAGCGTGCACTTCAAATATGTGATCAGCGCTTGTCAAATAGAAGCAGGGATTCATGCTACGCTGTTTTAAAATTGCTTCCTTGCTAAATCAAATAAACAAATGACAGTACCTACACGATGACCTCTGTCGTACAAGCAGCCTTGTGCTAAAATAGGCAGAGGAAACAGTGTTGAAATACAAAACCAATCATGCAAATGCCTGATAATGTACAGTAGAATGGCACAGAAATCCACAAAGGCCTCACAAAACAACATGATGAACCAAACATTTCAGTCCCGGAGTACACCAAAATAGTGCTGGGAACACAATGGGGGGGGGACAAATAGCACATTTGTGCCTGAAAATACACCTCTTGTGGCTTTTTCCAACCAAATTATGGAAATGTAAAATGGCTGTCTGTGCTTCCTTGCAGCTGCCGTCTCCTAAGTGGATAAAATTCATGCTAAGGTAAAAACATAATTTCCCAATTTCTTTGTTGAGCATAGACAGCACTTTAATTCCATTTATTATTGTGAAGGAGATTCTGGCATTTAAAATTGGTCCATCTTATGAAGCACACAAAGGTTCTGAGCTGAAACAAGAATGTGTTAAATTTAATGGAAAAGAGGTTCAATTCAGCTGGGGAATTATGGCAAACTAAATGTTCCTAAATTTTCAGAGGAGAAGTGCACAGTCCTGTTGCATCCGTATTTTGGTGGCTTTATGTTGGACATAAAGCCATCAAAATGTAAAACCATAGGATGTTTTTTCTTCATTAGATCAGTTGCAAGGTGATGGACACTCAGAACTACTGATCTAATGTCTTTTGGAATGAATCCAAGCCGTTACGACTTACAATACAAAGTCGTGTAGGTTTTGTAATCGAGTAAGACTAGCATTTAAATAAAGTCGAAGCAAGAATGGGGCACCTCCCATGCGGACTCATCAGTGTCTTCTCCAATTGTGTAACATCTTCACTTCCTCGGCACACACTGAGGACTCACATCGATCTCACTTAAGTTACTGAGGACAAACCTTCATTAGGTGTCCATTTAATGAGCTTGGAAATCAGTATCCTGGGTTTGTCACATCCTAAAAGAGTACGAATAAAGGTGTATGCCTTAAATATAAATATTTCATTAAACATGCAACATTTCTTGAAATAATTTCAAGCAAACAGCTTAAATAAAAAGCTCTTATGGGAGTGATGGAGAGTCTGATTATAATAGATACAGCACCTGCAAGATGAGTAAAAGATAAACCAGATTTAAACTCAATTTTAGCCTCGTTTTGTGGTTGGGTTTAAAAAAATAATGAATAAAAAGGCTAAGCAGAGACTGTTTAAATTTGAACCTGATGATGCCTGCCTGGCCCATTACAGTTAGCTGCTTATTACTGCATAAAAATGATTTAAATCAAAGGTTCACTTGCTTATTATATGGTGATCCTTTTAAAATCAGCCCAACCCTGTGTCTAAAAGGGCTAAGAGCAAAATCTACTGTGAAGGAGTCAGCCAGTATGTACAGCAAACTGAAATTAAATATGAATTAATAAATAAACATTACAGTAAAGGCCAGTTCACACCAAGAATGATAACGATAACTATATCAGCATCCACACCAGCAGATGATATCATTCTGTTTATTCTAGGCCCATTCACACAAAGGACGATAATTAAAGATAATGATAAAGATATCGTTCTCAATATTAAAGAATAGCAGAGCACCGCAGCTATAACGATAATGGCACAGAGAAACGATATAGTTGGAATCACTTTCACAACGATTTTATCCAGCTGATAAACGATAGAAACATTGACAGCCAATCAGAATCCATCACGAGATCGAGCATTTACAGTAAAGCGGCAGACAAGCACAAGCTTAGAATAAACAGAACGATATCGTCCACAGTGGACACTAATATCGTTATCTTTATAGTTATCGTTCTTAATGTGAACAGGCCTTAAGGCCTTGTCCACTAATACGGTTTCCTTTGAAAAATCATCTTTTTCTTTCCGTTTTTGCCCTTCCGTTCACACTGACAGCGTTTTTGTCCTGCGAAAACGGAGCTTTTTTAAAACGCTTTCCCAAATGGATAAATTTGAAAAAGCCGTTTTTTGCGTTGTTGTGTGGTGGACTGTGAAAACTGACTGATTTGAAAACGATGATGCAAGTTTAGTCATGTGACGCATATTGAACCGATAGATGTGTATGTTTATACCGCTATTGTGCCTGTAGCCTATGTGCTGCTACTCACTTTCACACTGTTGCAAAAGATACTTTGCACACTCTTCATATCGCAGTCCTGCAAAGATGACAGAAAATTGACTTGCAATTGCTGTCCTGGGGCAAAGTATGAGAGCAGTTGCGTTTTAGACCAAACAGTGACTGGGTGCGACCTGGAAGTGTCAGTGAATTATGAGATATTTTGCTAAAAAAAATGATCCTGCCAGAAGAATAGCATGAGAACTTTATTATGTCTGTTCCGTCAGGTGAATTTAGTGTTTTCCGACGTTTCAGTTTGGATGAGATACTTTTGGAAAACGCTTGAAACGTTAGTGTGGACGGAGGGCGTTTTGAAATGAAAATGCTATTTTAAAATGAATCGGATTGATGTAGACGTAGCCTATGCGCGCGCTGCAGTTGTGTCATCTGTCGCTTTAAATGCTCGAGGGCTTTAAAGCAGGACAGATTCTGATTGGCCGTCAATGTTTTTATCTTTCATCAGTCGGAAAAATCGTTCCAACGATATTTGTTTCTAATTGTTATAATAATTGTTAATTAATAATTGATAATTGTTTCTCTGTCTGTGCCGTTAAGTTGTGGCGTGGGGACTCTGCTATTGTTTTATATTTAGAACGTTTTTTTAGAACTATAGGCTATATCTTTATCGTTATAATTATTTATCGTCCTTGATGGGATGTGAACGGGCATACACGGACAACTAGCTCCATAAAACCCCTTGTGAATGGTTCCTTGCTGCTTTTTAATGTTTTGACAATGTACGGGGGAAAAGGACACAGTAGGCTATATGAAATCACGGAGTATAATCGGAAGCAGATCATTAACTTGCTCTGAATCCAGTCAATAAAATCAAAGTGAAAATTGGAATGATAAAAAATAGCCTGTGTCTCTTTTCTGTGTTTAATACATGACTCTTTGCATGCGAATTACGAACTGTAATTAGTTGCCCAAATAGGACCTAAGGGATTATTTTGTGCCTGTCTCTTCTGCTAAAGCCAACAATGTACCTCCCCTGACACGTGTAAAGGGAACGGTGCAAGCCTAAAATAATAAATAAATAAATGCTGCTACCCATTTGCTTCACGCAGGGCTCTGGTGCACCCTGACCAAAGTTAATCAAAGCCCTTCGGAACAGGGCATTGTACATTGTGCAATTTTAGGGCTTTGTGGAAAATCTGAGGTCATGATAGCAGATAAAGGTGACTGACGTGTCAAACATTCATTTTAAAAACTGATTTGCATCCATATAGATATATATTGCAATACAATTTACATGCAATACACTTCTAATAAGGAACCTGGGTTCTGTCAGGCACTTTATGTTCCCATCATTTCATGGATTTAATTTAAATTCATTAATTTTGTTTTAATTCATTCTTTATTTTGATCATTTAAATTTGATCATTTATTGATCATTAAACAGCTCGTAAACATACTTTATCACTAGAAAAAAAACATGAAACATCATTTAAGTATCCTTTTATTTAACCTTTTTGGCTTAAATAAGGGTTCTTAAAAATGTAGTCAAGAAGAACCCTGGTTTCTATTTAGAACAATACTGAATCTTTTTTTTTCTAAGAGTGAAATGAAGGTTCAGGAAGATTCTTTGGGAAACCCAGGTTCTTGTTTCATACAGTAGTAAAAAAAAAAAAAAAAAAAAAAAACTTTTGGGACTTATACATGTGTACATCCGTGCCTTATTTAACGCACATGATTTACATCATCAGAATCATTAGAACAGGATCCAAGACCTGAACTGTGTGTGTCAGATAAGAGAGACATCCAAAACAAGGATGGATACGATTAAATGTGCATGAACAGAAAGAAAATAGCCTATATATAGCCTACTGTGTCTTGAACAAAGCAAATATCCTTATATTGTTGTTGTGACTAGACAAATCTGCAGGTGCCAAGGAAAAGCACGATGCCAACTGACACACTGCGTGCATCTAAATCATGCTGTGTGTGGGTGGGCGCTTTACATTACACACATTAATTGCATGTTTTTAACCTTCGTATTCTTCCTGGCTGCTGATGTTGTGTCGTCTATTTATGATGGTGAGCTAATAAATGAAGAAAACAAACAAACAAACAAACGAAGATGTAATTAAATAAAGAAGCAATGGATAATCAATAAGATATATTCTACTGGGGGAGGGAAGCTTAAGCCAGCCTATTGGTGGTTTGTTGGTATTAATTGGTCTCCCATCCAGATAGATAGATAGATAAATAGCTGTTTTCTTCAACAGGGATGGAAATATGTTTTAGTTTGATCTAGGTTTAGAGGTTTAGTTTTCTTTACAAATTTCCAGTCATTGAAAATATTTTCATTTACGTTTTGTTTTATTTTATGTTAACAATAGTAACATTGCTGGTCAGGCTGATTTTTAGAATGGGTTTGGGCACTTTTGGCTATAACCAAAAAAAGAATAATAATAAATAAAATAAATGATTTTTAAAAAGACAGGTAGGGAGATTATCTTAAATCAGCTAAAAAAATAAAACAAAACAAAAAAACAGGCAAAACCTCTTCGGTGTATTGACTAAAATCTCGAATGACTTTTATTATGAAAGTTGACTCACAGCTTTTTCAGCCATGCGGTGACGTCATTCAGATCCGCTAAATTGACAGGCCACCTGCAGGGATGCAGCAAGGCTTTAAAGGGACAGGCATCGGATGCATGAGATGCTTTTGTTACAGCACATGGCGAGAAGAAGACGGGCTGTCATCTCCGGAGAAGCGTCCTCCGAAGCGCATCAGCAAAGACACGTAAGATATCCTTCATATCTTTCTGTCACAGAAAAAAATAAGAGGTTTTCGAGAGATTTAGGACAGACGATGTCAACCAAAAACAAAGTGGTGAGAATAGAGTTAATTTAAGATTTTTAAAAAATATTTCTTCTTTAAACATACAACGCCCTAAAGCGATCCGAACGATGCATTCTGATGATTTCTTTTAAAATCCAGAAAAAAATGTCTTTCATATCAAACTATTAGTGAAATAATGATTCGAATTTTTAACAAAATGTGTCTAGAATATAAACTACAGAGATTGTGGTGTCGGAGCCGAATGCATTTGGTGTCAATTCCATTTTTTTAAAGACTAAAATAAAATGTGTTTTGTAGGGCAAAGTTGCAACAAGTGTTGATGATCCTGATCAACAGGTTACAAGAGCATCAGTATGTCTTCTTGAAGTCACTTAGATGTAGCCTAATTTGCGGTGGGATTTGCATGTCGAATATCTGTGTAAAACATGATGAACGTCTATTGTGAAAGCAGCCTATGAATGCAGCCCTTTATAAATGACTCAACAGTGTTTTTCAGTTGAAAAGGCGGATTTTTTTTCCCTCTATTGAAAAGCCTCAGGGTCAGAAACGGCGACATTATTCATTATTGTTAATTCTGTTCGATCTCCTATTCAATCAAAATAATCGCTCTCCCCCCTAGTCAATATGCTTTTGCAAAACTTCTATTGATTATAGGAGAAGAGCTCCTTCAAGATCCCTAATTCCCCAGCTGGTGTGTTGAGCGAATGACTACAATTAGATTTGAAGAGCTGTTTATTATAGTTATCCTTGGCAAATCCAATATCAGAGCAGTCCTCAACATCCTCATTTTTCTGCCGGTGCTAATCACATAGAGGTGGTCCTGCTGGCCTTCCCTCAACGTTTAGCTCCGATGTATTCCGATGGCAATTTAATGCAATGAAGTGACATGCTCTCCTGGCTGAACTCCAGCCCTCGGGGGGAATATGTGAATTCGCACATCTCCAGGTGGGCTTGTGTGTGGAGTCGCTCATATCTTGTTCAGTACGCAGTGGGGGGGAAAAGGCTTGCTTAAAGGGATAGTTCAGCAAAAACCTTTAAATTCGGCCATTTACAATTCCGAGCTGACTTTCTTTATTCCGTGGAGCACAAAAGGAGATGTTAGGGACACCATTCGTTTTCATTCCATCTTGGTCCATACAATGAAAGTGAATAGTGACTAAGCCTGCCATTCTTGCCTAACATCTCCTTTTGTGCTCCATGGAAAAAAAGAAAATAGGTTTGGAACGACATGAATGATCATTTAGGTGCTCCATCCCTTTAATATCTCCATTTTTTTTACAACACAACTCTAGGGGGTAATAATTTGTATATGCATTTTTAGGGGAAAATAATTGTTAAAAACCTCACCCAGCTTATGTTGTTGTCCTGGGTGTGGAACACAAGCAGAATGTAAAAAAGGTGTGTGTGTGTGCGGGGGGAAGCATCAAGGAGGTGGATGAACTCTTGTAAACATTGAAAACAATGTGCTCAAATGCCCACTTACAAAAAAATATTCAAGGAAAAGGGTGCATATAATTAGCTTCCGCCGGATATGCACTAGGCATCTGCGCTTCAATCAATTTCAGCACCACAGCGGTGGACAGCTCCCAGTGTCACTGCACAGAACGAGGGAGTCAATGGCAATCATTTCCAACAGCACGGGATCAGCCCCTGGGACAATTTAACAAATGAATGATTTATTTGGAAGCAGACACACTAATGTTAAAGCCTCCCTGAGCAAATCACAGTTTTGACCCCTAAGTACTCCTCCTGTTAGCTTTTGCTTTCTGAATGTATATTGTTGTTGGTGTATGTAAATCTAGGCACTATTTAGTGCACTACAGAATTTCAACACGTAACTTTGAAACCACTTTGATTTCAATTTTAAAGTTATGCAGTTATGAGTTAAATAGGCCACTTTTTACATCATAAGTAAATGACGAAATCATGAACTCGAGTTGAATTGACAATTTAAATGGGTGGAATCAAAGATGTTGTTGTGCATACAATAAAAAAAAAAATTGACAAAATAAATCTTTTTTTCTAGATGAACAAATGCTAGACTGAGGTGTAGGCTGGTTAATAGTCAGAATGAATTATTTCTTGCGTGGGGCTTAGTGACGAACCTCTGAAGCACTGAACAGATGTTCTGAACCACCTGTTAGATGCTGGTGCGTTCAAAGTGCATATTGCGAGATCCTTAAAAACGATTCCACTGTTGTCTCAGTGTTCACTTGATGATGCACCGATAAACCGCACTTGGAGATGTTCTGTGCAATATTGATAACCACTTTTCATTACAAATATAATAAATAAACTGTGTTATCTGTCAGGAAATTAAATTAAGCGTGCTGTATGTAATTATGGCTGGTCACCCTTGTGGTACTGTTGGATTTACAGATATACATTATGTGAGGGAGAGACCCAGGAGCTGTAAACCTGTCAGTTTTACCAATTAGATATGAGGCACAGGGGAGAAATCTTACATTGACCACCACCCTTCTAAGGTGACTGTTGAAAGTTGTCTGATTTTTTTCTTTTTCTTTTTTTGAGGACAAAAAATAAACATAATTTTGAGGTAAGAAACACTGGTATAATCTGCATCAGCAGGTTTCGCTTTCACGTAAGCTTTACATCTATGTTAAAAACTCGAAATATCATGGCTGAGCAGACAAGGAGGGTTGCAAACACTTTCTAGTGTACTTCATCTGGATCCACAGAATGAGAAACATGACATGGGAACACACTAAATGAGTTGCTAGCCTATATTTTATGTATTTTATATCAATTCTATTTGGGTTTTGCTTTCAAATGTAGGCTAAGGAATTATATTGACCAATTTGGCTACCTTAGTAATTCATACACGCCCATGTTTTCTATTAGCGTTACAGAGAAATGTTGTTACAACGGCACACTGGGATAAATAGTAGCTATATTTCTATAAGCTATTACTTACATTTGTAACACATATACATATTGGAGTATTCCAGCAAATTCTAGCAAAAACACCGAGTTACAGACGTTTAAATAAATTGCTACACTCCCCGGTTTCACGTACAAAGATATGTATGAACTAAAAATCTTTAGTACTCTAATAGCTATGCCACTAACCCGAACTGAATAAGTCTCTCAGCCTGTTAACTGACTAATAATCGCACAAATCGCTGAAATGGTTGATAAACAGCGAAATGATCGATAATTCCTCGCTGTTCTATCGAGCTACATACAGAATTGATCGATCACGTGCGGGTGCTGTGGATGCGCGCGAGCAGGAGGAGGTGACAGGTTGTCTGTGAGCGTCGTGATGACACATTTACATGGAAAAACACTTCCAGAAATGGCAGCCCAAATGGTTCGGTGCGTGTCGCGGTCTGTACTTCACAAGCAAGGGGGGGGGGGATCGTTTACAGCAGGTGTTCAAACAAGAGGATATGCGCAATTAATGCAATTAGATGCAGCTTGGTTACCAAAACACGGGAGTAGGTCTGAGTAAAATACAATGTGTTGACTTTTCACATGTAGATAAAATCACCAGAGCCACTAAACAAAACGTTAAACGTGGCTGTGTTGTGTCTTTATCGTTTTCAGCAGATGGTTTTAGTCAGTGGATCCATTTAAAGTGACAGGCAAACAAAACATTTCGTTTAAACGTCTGTAACTCGGGGGTTTTTTTGGGAGTGGGGGTTGCATTACACGTCTCAGGGTATCCTCATATCTGTAAGCTACAAATTCAAGTTGTTTAGAAATGTAGTTTATCCTTAAACGGTCTAAAATGATATCAAGTAGCCTACAAAGAGTGCTGTTGTTGCAGCCTAGCTGAATGGTTGCATTAAAAGAGAAGATTTTGTTCAAGAATCAATGTGATAATCAAATTTACTTTTAAATTTATACATTTAATTTCACTCCCATCACCATCCTAATTTCATTTGAAGCATTTTAATTCAAAATGGTGACTCTATGGCAAACATTTATTTACAAACAGCATATAAAATGGCATTCGAATACAAATCACGTTAACAACTTTTGATTTTTTACATAGCCTAACGTTTGAATGTTGCATATCAGATTAAACCGTGAAGCTAAATCATATAAATCCTTTTACTTGATACCAAATTCTAAACAAAGTGTTCGGTAAAACCTTTGTTTTTATCAGGAAGACGTGGTCATGTACGACAGTGATTTCAGCCCATTTCTAATCGGTTAGTCTGACAGTGTTACAACTCCCCTCATGTTACAGCACTCCCCAGTCCAATATCAAATAACAGCTGTGTAAATATATATAAATCTTAAGAGAGCCTCTGCTTACTTGGCTCCCTGGCAGTAACAGGTTTCTCCTAGTGTTTGAGTTCACCGTGCTGCACATTTGAACTGTTGCTCTGAATTGGATTTGAGCTTCAAGAGGATTTGGCTCCTCTTGTTGGTGTTGATATTTCAGAGCGATATTAGACTACAGGGTAGCCCTGTGTAATATTGTGGAATCTACTGAAGCATCATCAAGACCTCAAGGGCCTTTTAACGCAGCCGTTTTCACATTGGCCCCTAACCTTGAAGATGGCAATCCGTTTTTTCCACATGCGCGTTTTCCAGAGTAGGTTGGACATCAAAACGTGAGAGAATCTGTGTACAGGCGATGGCCATTTGTGGTGTGCGTTTGAAGTGTGAATCAGCCAATGCCAGTGACAGTCTAGCAGTGGGGGACGTGCGGGTGGATGTGGAGCTGTGGAGCAGCTGTCCGCTGAGGGACCGGAGGCGTTGGGAGGGGTCGTAAGAGGCCTTAAACTACACCCGCTGGCACAGAAAGAAAAAACAGTAGTGATTAACAGCGTTTATGTTCACTATTATACTTCGTCTAGTTGTGGAATAACGTCTTAAACATATTACATTAATAAATTAGCAGACACTCTTTGGTAACCTTTTTTTAATATTTATTTTCAAACCACTAACTAGTGATCCAGCAAAACCTTCAAAGAAGGTTTCCGGTTTCAAAACGAATACTTATTCATGGTCCAGTGTGTCATTCGCCTCCACGGAGAGCCAAGCACACGGATCCCAGGGGTATGTAGGCTAAGAAGCTCAGCTTTCCTCTCGGTGAGAGAGTGTCTGTTAGGCCATGCAATTGAATTACAAAGCAGGAAGTGAGCAGGACTAAGATTGTGCACAACAGGCTTTGGCCGCAGTGGAGGAGACGGTGCATGTACGCTGTGCAAATCAGAGCAGGTCTCGGGAGAGATATTGCCATCTTTTCCGCTCTAGTTTTAATTACAGATAAACATCGACCACAGAGACTTGAAATGAATGTATAATGGCAGTCGATATGTGCTTTTATCCGTTATGTAACCATGAGAATTCTTATTTCTTTTCAGGGCTTCACAAAACAACTGTGGAAAGGAGGGTTGAAGAATTGGTGCTGTGTGAGTATGTGTTTGCTAATGTTTTTTTTTTTTATATATCGGCCCATACCAATAATCAAATAATCCAATATTATATATAATATAATGTTAAATTGCACATTTCCCCTATTTTTACATTTATATTACCTTTGCTGTCGTAGTGCTGCTGTTTTAAACTAATAATTCACTGTTAAAACAGTTTATTGTAATATTTAACAAATCTTGAAATGACTATCCAAATTTCATACTGTACCTTTTAATGCTGTGATGCCTAAAATCACTTGTAGCATTTAAAATTAATGACTTTATTTTTTTATTTGTAGTTTTTAGTATATATATATATATATATATATATATATATGATAAATTTATCAGTTGTTTTCATCGTGTGAAAAATTATTGGTTATTGACCATAACATATAGTAATTAAAAACAACTATCAGCTTATCGGTATCGGCTCGAATATTTATCCGTACCCTTTTCATCTATACTCCAATTTTATCCGTACCCTTTTCATCTATACTCCAATTTTATCCGTACCCTTTTCATCTATACTCCAATTTTATCCGTACCCTTTTCATCTATACTCCAATTTTACCCGTACCCTTTTCGTCTATACTCCAATTTTATCCGTACCCTTTTTATCTATACTCCAATTTTATCCGTACCCTTTTCATCTATACTCCAATTTTATCCGTACCCTTTTCATCTATACTCCAATTTTACCCGTACCCTTTTCGTCTATACTCCAACAAATCCTGACCTGTGCTGCCTACCTAAGCCCTACCTATCGCAACAATGCATTGAACCCTTTTCGTCCTGGTTGCCCTGGTTACGGCCACTTATCAAGAAGAGGTCTTAAAGATCAAACAGGTGTGGTATCCAGCTGCCGCGATCCTCCCGTTGCTATGGACCTTTGTTCGGCGCCAAGTACAGGTGCACGCGGAGTGTACACAAAAACATGATGGAGGGACAAAAAGCATTTCGCCTCACCGCTGCGGTGCCATAAACTGCCCAGCGACCTATCTGTGCTTCAGAAAGAGGAATGGGGGTGGGGGGCGGAAAGGAAAGGAAGGGGGTTGGAGAGGAAAGTCAGACTGAAATTCGACATCAGAGGTGGGCACAGTGAGGGGTCCTGACTGACGGGGAAAGCTGGAGTTGACACAGACATGTCTACTGATCGCGAACACCGTTCAGGCGTCCACCCCAGGAAACTCCCCGCTAGCACTTCCCCCAACACAGTCATGTGACGCATATTGTCATGTTTCCGTTTTTAACAACCGTCACTCCGTTTGCAGCAGCTGTCCTTCACCATCCCCTCCGTCTCTTTAGATTTTTAGCACTAGAATCTTCTATTTCGCCATCCAAGCGTTTTGATAGCGGCAGGTGGTACGACACGTCCAGGAAACGGTGCTGTATTTTCGCTTAACTCTCTGTGAATGCAGCCTGAAATGTGTTAAATTAAATTTTGACCTATTGATTAGCAAGATACGTGCCTGTTCCAAAACACTCGGACGTATTGAATTGACGACGGTGACTATAAGAGACAACCGGATTCGATTTGAGCGCAATGGCCATGAGGTCATCTGACTTCATTGCGACGTTCTGCAGTTTAGAAAATGGCAGAATTGATTTTTGATGCTATAAAAACAGGCTTGGATGGTTTGCCATGGATGCACAATCGAGGTAATCTGATTGCAGCCTGGGAAATCTTAAGTGAATCAGAGGTTACATTCTGTATGCAGGTGTTTCTTTAAAAAGACCGGGCCGTTTCCACACAGGAAGTTTTTGGTGAAATTCGCCTTGGATGATATTCCCATCTAAAAAGGGAGAATTATCACAGACAAACATAAAACAGCAGATATATGCACTCTCATACCTCCACCGAATATTTTTCAACATCCCTCTGACAGGCAGATTGGGGGGTGTGGAGCACATTCACCACCTCCACATCTCTCCAATTTCAGCACTGTAAAAAAAAAAAAAAAAAACGGTAAAAGGTCGTTTTGACTGGGCTCCTGGGAGAGAGCATGTTCAGGTAATTAAGTGTAGTTTCACTCAGCCCCCTTGTCAAGGCAATTACCGTAAATCATATGCTCTTACCCGCGTTAATTACCGAGAAATCGGTCTGTACACCACTGACTGACAACCACAGTCTGGCCTGCACATATTACAACAATAACAATTATCCGATGTACCGTTACATCTGTAACAACTGTGGTCAAAACAGATATTGCTTGTAAAATGTAACCAAAGCTATTTAAATTGGGGAAAGTTCTGCGTATTAATTTAACCAATTAATCATTTATGATAGTTTCAAATTCAGATAAAAAAAATAACAACTTAAAAACAACTTATTTTACTGAGATTTGTGTCAAAACTGAAATGGTAAATATATATTATATCATATAGTATATTGCATTTATTATGATATATTAAGCTATATTACAGGCAAAATGGGGGCAAATGAATTGAAAGGGCATGGAAACCTTTGATTTATATAAATATTATAAACACTGGAGTACAAAAAGTCCTCAGTGAAAATAGTGTAATTATTCCGAAAAAGTTCAAACAAAAAAAAATTATTAGATAGATAGATGGATAGCATCTTGAGACAAAACAATGGCACTGATATATTTTAAGATATGTCAGTGCAAGTTGCTTTCAGTTAGAACAGCTCAAACATGCATTCTAGTCTAGGAATATCTTAAGCGTTGTCTGTGATACCGGGGGTCAGAGATTTATGTGGATAATATATGTTTTAATGAACAAAAATTATTACATTTGAAAAATTCAACTACTGGACTCCACTGTAAATAAACCACTTCTTTGCTCCACAAATCTTTAACATTAACGTAAGAAATTTTATTTAGCGGCGACTTCTATTCCAGACTGTATATTTCTCCTCAGCGTTTCAATTGTAGATTTGTATCTACAGGAATGGTGCTGAGGAACCACAAGCACAGTTTGCCTCTCCGCTCAGCTTCTCTCTCTCTCTCTCTCTCTCTCATCTCTCTCTCTCTCTCTCTCTCTCAACCGCACACAGCACTCGCAGTAAGAGATGGATTCAAGCATCTCTGCAGTGCTTCTTCCTCAAAGATAGAGCGAGACGGAGAGAGAGCGAGTAGGAAGTGGGAAGTCACCTCCGTCACTGTAAGTCACCCACCTAATCAGCTCAGCTCAGTGCCTGGGGAGAGAGAGAGAGAGAGAGAGAGAGAGAGAGAGAGAGAGAGAGAGAGAGAGAGAGAGAGAGAGAGAGAGAGAGAGAGAGAAGAGAGAGAGAGAGAGAGAGAGAGAGAGAGAGATGAGAGAGAGAGAGAGAGAGAGAGAGAGAGAGAGAGAGAGAGAGAGAGAGAGAGAGAGAGAGATAACAATTTTAAGGGGTGACTGAACAGCCATGTAAGGTGTTCCTGCTATGTTCCCTCAAAGGACGGGTTCACTAGATGTGAAGGGAATCAAATTAGGAGAGGTGGCCATCCGGGTTGGGGGCCGACATGACCGTGTTACTGTGGTGTTATTGCATTAACTCTATAATTAAATCTATCTATCTATCTATCTATCTATCTATCTATCTAAAACCTTTAGTATTTGGTTTAAAAAAATTGTTTTTGTTTTCTTAAAATCGAAAACCAATTCACACCTGAACTCTCTGAGAAGTTATTTATCGCTTCAGATGGAAAAAGGTGCTTTCGTAGTTACTGGTTTAATAATTGCTTTTTCTTTTCTTTTTTTGCAATTAGTCAATTATCACGCTCCACATCTGCTGTGGAACATTTTCATTTAAACATCTGAATGTGAGTTGAACACATCTCTGACAAGATTTCTAAGCTAACTGACATCATCATCTGCCGTCTAAGCTCCGTAATCGGCTGCCCTAATGCATTTTTTAATTGTTTTCTTTCCCCAATACATGTTCCACACATGAGTTGAGAAGGAAAAAATTTACTACCTATTAAATGAACATCTCGTCATCTGCCTGACCAGCTATTTCAGGTCTCTCCATTAGCGAGACGCGATGAATCCGTCTGACGTCCGAACTGTCACATCCCCGAGCCTATAAAGATCCCTATAACATGCTCAACAATCCAAAAAATGGAGACAATTGATTTCCGCCTGCCAAGAATGATCGTAATAAAGTTTTACAAGCATGACGAATCCCCGAGGTTATGATCTATGAACATTCTCAAAGGAAAAAGATTTCTCTCTCTCCATCGAATCATCTTTAGACAAATGGTGGCGACAGTATAATTGGACATTAGTCTTAATTCGCATGTTACAGGAGCTGAGTTGAATGCTCGCTCCTCTTGGCTGGACACCGAGCTCTTTCTCTCCACGCGGCGCGTTTGCTTTTTCTAATTGTGCCCAGTGAAAGGCGGCCATCCTAAACTGAAGAGCATAATTTAACTGGCCTTAATAAAGGATTACTATTCAACGTAGAGCCCATTATTTTCCAGCCAGACTCCCGACAGCAGATCAATAGGAACGGTACTCTCACCCTTTTTCTTTTTTTTTTCTTTCTCTCACTTGCTCCCACTTCTCTGGAATCTTAAGTAAATGTATAAGTGCGTGCGGAAACGGGTTCGGCTACTTAAAGAAAATGAGAGGGGACCGAAAGAAAAAAGGACGGCCCTGACTTTATTCATACAAAGTGAGGAGCCTATTATGGCTAATATGTTTTTTTAATGGGAAAAACCATAGTTGATCCGAGCTAATTTCCCTTGTGCGGCTTGGGCTCTGAAAGTAATCCATCACCTCAGTATGAGGCGGTGGCGGCAAGTAGCCACGTCTCTAATGAAGCTCTCCTTCAGAGGGCTAAAGAATCGCGCTGTCAGTCTCCGCTCAATGGCGTCTCCGACACAATGGCCTCCCGATTGTTGCTTTCTCTTTGTATGTGCTAACTCAACCAGGGCCTTATACAAAATGAATGGGCCGATGTAACCCTAGCTTTGACGGTCCCCTGCCATCCCAAAACACCTGTCAGTCATGCTTTTGTTGTTCGCACAGGTGAGTTTGATGGAGCACGCTGTACACACTTCTGAGCTAAGACTG